GATGTATTAACCCAAGTCAGATACCCGACATCTTTTCTTGGTTCTAGGTTCATAAACAGGAGTTAAATTGGTCCCAGTTGATGTTTTGTGTTGCGCCTCCACATCAAACTCAAATAATACAGCAAAGTCCAACCTTTTTTCCGTCATCAAAGTTAGCCAACTGTCATGAAAAATCTGCATCCAACTTATTTTAAGCAAAATGAGAAGAATAAACACATTTTTTTATTTAAATTTTAATATTGGTGGGCCTTAAAAGATGTTAACAAGGGCCCGATTTGTTTAACGGGCCTTGAGTTTGACATGTGATCTAATGCATAACGTTTCATCCAGTCAGTTTACTTTTGTTTGAGTCAGAGCAGGCAGTTTGTAGCTTTATATTTCTGTCTGCCTGCTGCCGTCTTCTGTATCATCAATAATTCATTTCAGCTTCATTTACTTTGCTTATATCATGCCACAACAAGTCATCTGAGGATATGTGAGTCAGTTGGTCTAAATAAAAACAGCTCTGTTAAGTCAAGGTAAATGCACATAAAAGCAGGATCATTTTTTGGGTATAATTCAAGTTTTTAAAAACATGTTCTACTAGAAAACTAGCAGGTTGCCTTCAGTTCCTAGTGAGCATGCACAGGCCCATGGGCTGAATCAGAGATCAGAACAACTTGTTACCAGGATAAGACGTCCTGCAGAACCAGAGACACACCTGCCTTGTTTGAATGCAGAAAGGTCAAAGGGCAAAACTAACAAGAACAAGACAAATATTTGTTTATAATCCATTTCTAATGAAATGGAAATTTAGAGTCCCTGTAACATCTAGCTGATAGCGCAAGGTCTTTGTTCTAAACTTTGTCAGAAATTATTGAAGTCAACTGTCTGTTAAAAATATATCATGGACCAGTGGACAAATTTTATTGAAACTTAGAAAGAAATTATTGGACGTTCACCATAAACTTGTTAGGTTTTAGAGTCAAATAAGATCAAGATGGCCACCACAGCCTATTGATTTTAGTTAACACAAAAATGGCTACGGCTTAGTCAATTTTACAACTATAGAGCTGAAATTTGGTGTGGTAGTAGCTGAGCGTCATTCAGAATACATATTCCAAGCATGAGATTGCACATAACATTATTTTCTAGATTTGACCGAAAAGGCTACCACTGTTGTTTTCTGAACATGAGGAGTGGCAGGGACATAAATGCAAGGTTCTTTTTTTTTTTAAATAGCTCTTTATTTACTTAAAATCTGTGATATTTTTATTATTCAGACTTATAAACTCAGTATTTCTCAAGTAAATGGTATTTGTTCAGAGCTGAAACTGAAAACAGTTGAGTCAGATGTGTTGGATCACCTGGAAAAACAAGTTCAAAATATTAAAATGCACCTCTTTAATCCCTTTGTAAACCTCTTAAATCTAATCTGACAGCCTGTGCATTTACTCCATAAACGTTACATAAGTGCAACTTTGTCATGACTTGTTGCAGAACTGAAACACAAAAAAACATTCACAGTTGGATTCATTTAATTTTCTGTTAGATACAAAGTGGAACAGACAGCTTTCTTTAAGCATGTGCCTTTAGGCTGCTAAGCGTTAACATGAGCAAAAACGGGGATGCTATGGCAACAGGAACTTACAAACGCCTGTTCAGGCATCCTGCCACCAATAAAACCAAACATGATTATTTAGCAGCCGGTGCTCCTGTGTTGCAGCCATGCCTATCCTCCCAGGGAGCTGACTAACAGGCTGAATAGACTCATTCTTTCTGCTGAGACTCAATGGTTTGACTGGGAGTCTTTGCTTGTAAAGCTCAATCATACTGGCCTCCCTTCGAGCCATTTATCATTCCCTCATGGCTTTACAGTGCTGAATGATTGCCTCGCCACAGGTGATCTATGCTTCCGTTGTGCCTGTGATGTTCTCAACAAGGGTTTCTTGAAGGCAGCATGTCTCTGCAGTGTGGCTGGAGTGAAAAATAGCTCTGTAGGATGGAGAAGTATAAGATTGTTGGACCAGTCTGGTGTCTGTTTTCAGTTTGCTTTATTAGAATAGTTTTTATTTGGGCTATTTTCTTTTTTAATTTAATAATCATTTGTGTAAAAATTCATGAAACCTCCTATAATAAATGTCTTGGAGGATGGATGGCTCCACAGGGACCTCCTGAGAGTTGTGCTGTAATTGATGATGATGCGCTGTCTCCGCAGATGCTCTCACCCTGCAGCACTGACTCCCCTACGTCTCCCTGAGCACTTTCTCCTGGAGCATTCCTGCGGCGGTGGGGGTCCTGCTGGAGAGGCAGCCCCGTGTCTCCTGATCCCTCCATACAGTATTTTAGAGCACAGTTCAGTATTCACTTCTTCCACATACTAATCCTTTCATTAGCCTCAGCTTCAGGCGCTCAAAGAGCTGTCTGTGTGCAGAGCTGGGAGAGAGACAGATACTGACACAGAGACACGTTTACAGATCTGAAACACTGCCCAGCTGAACATTTTGATGCACAAGACTTGCATTTGCGCTGACAAATATGCTGAAACAGAGCTGGCGTCTTTCACACAGGATCCATGCTGAAAATATTTTGTGATCAGTATCAATTTGAGCAAAATCCTCAAATGAAAATGCACTTTTTTAATTTCAAGTGTGCAAAAGTCACATTAAGCGTTATTCATTTGACTCCAAAGTGTCTCGGATTGACTCCAAAAGTTAGTCAGTACCAGACATTCCTCCAATGAGTTATTTAAAAGAAAAAATTTCAATATAATCCAGTGGTTCATGAGATATTTTGTTAAATCTGCAGACAAACGCATATAGAAATGAGCTAAAACACTCTGGTCATTGTCTCTTTGGCTGCAGGTGATAATAATTACTAAAATAAAAATACAAGTAGAAAACAAACACAGACCTAGACAGGAAAAATAAATATAAAAATAGACTAACAGTGCATTATGCAAACCTGGTCCTTGAAGGCCACTATCCTGCATGCTTTAATTGTTTCCTTGACCCAAAACACCTGATTCTGTGGTTAAATTGCATCTTCGGGGCTTCCTCATGTTCTGCAGGAGATAGATGTTAATGACTCCTTCATTTAGCTGTGCTGTAACACGTAAATGTCCAAAGCATTCAAGATAGCAGCCGCCGGGGACCAGGACTGGACACCACTGTTTTAGTTTCCATCAAAGTTCACGAAATTAAAGTGTCACAGGAAAACTACCGTATTTTTCAGCGTATAAGTCGCTTCAGCATATAAGTTGCATTTATTATGAGTTTATTTAATGGTCAAAACAGCTTCTTTTCGCCTGGGCAGCGTAGCGCCATCCATCCATCCATCCATCCATCCATCCATCCATCCATCCATCCATCCATCCATCCATCCATTCATCCATCCATCCATCCATCCCTACATCCATCCATCCATCCATCCATCCATCCATCCATCCATCCATCCATCCATTCATCCATCCATCCATCCATCCATCCATCCATCCATCCATCCATTGTGGCAGGAGCCGCTAGCTCTCCAGCGTTCCTCCACCTGCACCAGCTGAGTGAAGCAAACGCACACAGGAGGACTCGCTGTGGCAGTTCTTAGACATTTCAAGTGTCGGTCAAAAATTGCATTATGAAAATGAAAAAAAAAAAACGTATAAAAGTCGCTTTGGCATATAAGTCGCAGGGCAGACAGATCTATGCAAAAAACTGTGACTTATATGCCGGAAAATATGATAGCTGGTTCTTTTTAAATGTTACTAAGCATTTGGAAGTGATTCAACACATTTCAAAGTGAATTAAAGACTTAATTTTTGTTTGATATGATTTCAGCTCCATGTATTATTCATTGGTGCAGATGTGCTCACCAGTCATACCAGTCATACTGTGCACATCTGTGTCATCATGGGAACTGTGGACTTATTTGCTAAACAAGAAAAATGTGTCCTTTCCTCTTTACATCTTCTTCCCTAACATTTTTATCTTAATTAGAAATGAAAAATATATTTTTTATCTTTTCATTTTCTTTTAATTTCCATTTTAGTGTTTTAACGAGCTTACGTTTGCTGTTTATACTTCACCAGTTTAAAGTTGAAGCAAGTGTCAATGGTGTGGATGGAAAACCACAGATGAAGTGAAACGCTCTGGATGTTGTTTAATTAAGACAGACAGCTCTTTATTAACGTCATCACAGTTTATTGTAAGGGAAATGCGTCACCATTTTCCTTTTGGCTAATTGTGTCACAAATGATTAATTGTGATGTAACCAGTATGACATCACAATCTCTTTATTTGTTCGTTATAATAAATACAGATATATAAATACATTACTGTATAAGGTCTTAACCTTGCACTCATAAAAAAGTCTAATTTCTACAATTCATCCCTTATACAGTGCCGACCGCCTCACAACTATAATCAGTAGCATCATTGTTTTATTGCCTGCTGAAGCCCAGAATGAATGCTTAACTTTGCAAAGGCGGTGCAACTGTTTGCCACCCTAAAACCAGCATGTCAAAGTGAGGAGGCTAATTCTGATTTGTTGCATTTTAAATGTCTGTATTTGACAAACGACCGAGGTTCTAATGACAAACCTTTCTGTCTCTTTCCTATTGTGTGTCCTCCATCAGGAATACAGAAAGACCCACCTCTGACCACAGGATCTGGTTAAGTTGCGGCTTGACCCTGGCATGTGCATATATATCATTCCCGGACAGGAAGACGGCAGTCTGGACTGAAGGGAGTCGGGGTACAGGCAAATAGATGAGTCACATATGAGTCATGCGTATCGTAATGATGTCTGGAAACAAGTCCTCCAACAGACCATGAAACTATGTGAACTAACAGCAAGAATTTTTTTTCTTCTTCTTTTACAAGCTTTGACTCATTCATTTATGTTTCCAGTGCAAAAACACTTTATAGTAACAAACAGCTAAGCAGCGATGACCTAATTAAGTCTAAATGACTTCACTCTGATAAGCCGCTCGCCGCCTCGTTGGCTGATGGAACAGGATGGAAGGTGGACTGTTGTGACTGAGGCTGCACAGTGTGAGGTTACATGATATTTCTGCAGTTGTTGATGCTACCTGCAGTAATGTTGAGGCGTGGACTACTAACGTGGGTGTCCCGCATCGGGGGGGTGCTGGTGCTGCTCTGCTGCTCTCTGTCACTCCTCTATCTGATGACCTGCAGTCCTCCACACTCCAACAGCCCTCCGTTGAGTCATGTGTTACCTCACGCAGAGTCCGACCGCCCTAACCTCGGAGGTACGGGCCCGGTTATTGGAGCCGGGCCCGGAGGGACAGGAGGAGCAGGGGCCCAGAGCCGGGGCCCACCAGCCGTCCACACTTACCAAATGCTTCTCCAGGAGCGCGAAGAGCAGCACCGCCTCTACATCTCCTCCTTGAAGAAGCAGATCGCTCAGCTGAAGGAGGACCTGCAGGAGCGCAGCCAGCAGCTGAAAAGAGTGCAGGAGAGTCTGAAAACAGTAGTGATGGGGCCGGAAGATGTGCAAGAAGGGGGTGCTGGGTCACAAGGAGGTGGGGTTAGAGACGTCCAGGGAGTAAAGAGCCAGCAGTTTGACCTCCAGGAGTTTCTGAGAGGTCAACTATCAAAGGCTGAGGTGACAGCTGGCACCAGGTTACCCAGCGAGTACGCCGTGGTGCCTTTTGAGAGCTTCACCCTGCAAAAGGTGTACCAGCTGGAAATGGGGCTCACTCGTCATCCCGAGGAGAAACCTGTCAGGAAGGACAAAAGAGATGAGCTGGGAGAGGTTCTGGAGGTGGCTCTGCACAGCCTCAACACAGTCGCATCTCCGCAGGGCAAGAACGCAGCAGACAAAACTCAAACCAGCAAAGTCTACACTCCGTCTGACTTCATAGAAGGTAAGAGCACATCCTCACTCTGCCTACAGGAACACACAACACATTCATACAGAACTCCATTGGAACACACGTACAGAAGTACAGGTGCGTCGCAAAAAATTAGAATATCATGAATATTTTTTATCAGTCACTTCAGAAAGTGAAACTCATATATTACATAGATTCATTACACATATAGTGAAATATTTCAAGCATTTATTTCTTGTAATTGTGATGATTATGTCTTACATATAATGGAAAAACAAAATTCAGTGCCAGAAAATTAGTGAAGATGTTCGATATTGGAAACTCATGGTGTCACGCCCTAATCAGCATTCACAATATGATCATATTTTAGTTATTTATAGTCGACAATTGGAATAAATATGATTATAAGGTGACTTTGGCCTGGTGTTGCTAATAATTGAATTTTTATTAATATGAATTGTCTTTATTTTTAGTGTACAAAAACAGGAAGCAATCATGTATAGGCCTGTCACGATAACAAATTTTGCTGGGCGATTAATTGTCTCAGAAATTATATTGCGATAATCGATAATATTGTTTGAAATTTGACAATTAGTAATTATTGTCAAATTTAAGAAGAAATGTTTAATTTGTTTTGTGTGTAGTACCTTTTTTGACCACCGGATGGCAGTATAAGACTGTTTGAACTGAAGGATGGATAGTGAGGGAGCAAGCAGTGTGTCTGTTACGAAAAATGGGAGGGAGGCCCCTTGACGTGACATGGGCTGTCTCTCTTCGGTTCTCAAAATGGCGGACGCTTGGTGTGATTTGAGCTCTTTAACATAGCATTTTTTCACACAAAGCTTTTAATAAAAATTTCAGTAAACAAGTTCTCAGCGTCTTTTTGCAGAGAAAAACTTTTTACAAAACGGCACAGGTTTAAACTGTGAATTTCGGAGCTTCGGCAAGATGGAAGTTTTTTCCCCAAGGTCTGCCTATTAGCTTGGAGCTTAGCTTCGCTTAGCTTCTCAGCTTAGCTGCTTTTAATGAGCCAAAAACACAATTTTGGAGGGTTAAAATAGATTTTAAAGAAAAAAGAGAAATGGAGGGGTCAGTGAAGAACACCGGAGTTGAGATTTTTGTCATCCAGTGTCTTCAGTAGAAAGAGAGAGACATGAAGAAATGATAAAGCCGATAAATGAAGATGAGGTTGATAATTTTTATTTATCATGCGATTAATTGATTTATTGTTTATCATTTATCACGACAGGCATGTGAACAGTAAACCAGCTCTACTTATGTACTTTACTCATATAGATATTTTTTCTTAGCATGGCATCTTTAATGCACATGTTTACATGTGTAATCTGAAAACCTTGTTTGACTCATAATGCATCTACAGCCTCTAATAATGAACACATGAATAAATCTGCTTGGATTATGTAACAAATGCAATGCGACAAAAGTAAAAAGAGATTAAAACGATAATTAGAAAGCTCATCTTCTGCACACCTTTGGTGATCTGAGAACAGAAACTGAACCTTTCATTCTCTGACGTTTTTATTCTGAACCAGATTCAGAAAAAGGAGAAAATAATTCCATCTGCTCATGATGAATGGCAACTTTACTCCTTGTAATACACCCGTGGGTTGTGCACATCTTGTCAGGTGCAACAAAAAATATCCTATCGGTGCTTGTTCTGAGGCACCATCTTTTGTTTTGCAATACTGCACTAAAACACCAGAGAGACGTAACATAAAGCAAGTTCAACACAGCTCAGCGATCATTTCTGTCTCAACTGAGAGGTGTTAGAAAAATGAAGATTTACGAAGGCAAAAGAAACATTATCGTTGTCTTAAAGGACGGGGAAATCCTGCAGTTTTATTGTGGAACGCCTGCACTGAAAGCTTTTAAACTTTGAAAATGTGCATGGACTTGTCTGCAAATTACTCATTAGTAACAAAAATATCTGAAGTTTGATCAGCTGAGCGCATGGTTCCCTTGGTGATACAAAGCTTGACGTTTGTTTTAGTGTAAAAGTTGAATATCTGGTGTTAAGTTGGCACTGAGTTGTGTTTTTTGTTTTGGGTTGAAGTTAAATCCATGCTGGCTCAAACATGAAATAAATTAAATGCTCAAAAGATGCCAGTAAACTGACAGCATATTAGAGTAATTACACCAGGGAGGTGCTTTGAGCATGTCTGACTGGGAGGAGACCCCAAGAAAGATCCAAGGCACGCTGGAGGGACTACGTCTCTCGGTTGACTTGGGAACACCTTGGAATCCTTCCAGACGAGCTGGAAGAGGTGGCTGTGGAAAGAGATGTCTGGACCTCCCTGCTTAAGCTGCTGCGACCTGACTTCAGAACAGACCAAAGATGATGGATGGATGGATGGATGGATGGATGGATGGATGGATGGATGGATGATGGATGGATGGATGGATGGATGGATGGATGGATTACATTATTAAGACTTGTAAGACAGTGTTGTGTTAAATGCATAAAATTTCCAGATTAGAGCTGTTTTTAGACGGCATCAATTAACTTTGATCGGGCTAGTTCATCGGTCTTTCCGAGCCCTACTTAAAAAAGATTATTATGGGATTGTCCCCACGTGAGTAGTGCTTTATGAAAATGCAAGTTTTTATTATTCTTTCAGCCTTGTGTCCATTCAGAAACAGAGTTTCATGAACGCTGACACATTTTTTGACAACAGGCTCCAGCCTGAAAAAAATCTCAAAATGCTACCTTTGCATTTTTGTGTACATGGCCAAAATGCAACTTTTTTTTAAAACAATTGTTATAGCCCTACTACTAATCTAACTTATGACCCCAAGCACATACTCTTCCTGTTGTGTTTACGTTTGATACTCAATGTGCAACACTAATGAGGACGTCTTGTTTCCTGTATTTGGTGATTTCTTTTGTCCCAGAGTTACAGCACCACATACAGGCCTGGCATAGTTACTACAAAGTTTTTGGATTATTTTGGGTGTTAGGGTTTTTGAAAACAGTAACGTTAACTCAAAACAAAAACATAAATTAATGAATTGATTAAAAGTTGTTTTGGAAAAACTGTATTTGTGTCCTTGGGTCAAAATATATGGCTTCTTGTGTGCGGTTCTATCATCTACATTAAGTGTTTATACAAATCTGATTTTGGTGTATAATTATTTGTGTTTGTTGGTGTATTCACATAAATAGCCTCCTCATCTCCTCACCTAGAGAGCAGTACATTGCTGCAACCTTTTAATACTCTTCAATGGATTTTTTTTATTTTTTATTGTATCTTGAGCCTGCAGTTTTATCTCAATAAAAGGAAACTGAGAAGACGAGATTGGTAAATGATAAAGTTTAAAAGCTGCAATATCGCTTTGGTGAATTATTCACAAACAACAAAAATGTGCAAAATGAGCTCTATCTCACATCAGGAGACAGAGATGTGCATTTGGACAGTATGTCTGAGACAGGAAGGGTAAACATTTTGTCTAAATCGCTCAAAAAAATGTACTAAATGAAGTCTCGTCCTGTTCCTTTGGGAAATGAGGCCTTCCATCACAGAAAGCATTCCGCTTTTACAATAAGGCTTTAATTTGTGCTGCTATCATGCTGTCAATCTTCTCTCACAGAAAGCCTTCTGTTTCTTTTTATCTGACATCCTTTAACATCCTCCCGTCTGTCTGCCACTGTTTCTGTCTCCGAGTCTTTGTTGGAGGATCACAACAACACTGTTTTCACCTCCTCTTGCTTCCTTCCCATCTTTCTGCTCGCACTTCTCGCATTCTGCATCAGGTTTCCCTTTTTATTTTTCCTCCTTCACACAGCGACCTCACAGGGTTAGCTAGCGAGTAAAAATCTTAGTAATGGCAGAGAAATTGGAAAACAGCTTTTCTCTAGGGGAACATGCTGACGTTAAGGCCAGTAACAAGCGCATTAGTCCGAAATGACTAAAATAGCCTCCATGCCTGTGAGTTTCTGTGTTTTGCTGCACACTGCTATGGCTCTTGGCCCAAAAATCACCAGAGTGTACGGAGAACATCTTCTATATCATGATTAGCTTTTATTTTTCTGCAAGATAACATCAATTTGTCACACAGATTTAATGACAGATGCACAAAGACATGAGGAAAAAAAATGTTGCTTTAAAATGTTTATTTTATAGCAATGTTTTTTGAATAGGTGCTTCAAGGGAAAAATATTGTCTCTTGTTGTTTTGGGCTGTAGTGAGGCAGAGGAGGCTCCATAGGCAAGTAACTATGGGGGGCATAAATTTATTTTAAAATAAAACCAAGGCTGCTGCTGGTGGGAAGTCCAATAAAAAACTTGCTGAGTGTGCCACTAAAGCAACAACAAGCCTTTACATGAGAGAATACAGAACACAAATAAAAAGATGAGGTTCTGGCAAAGAGCAACACTGGGACTTTATACTTTATGGTAGACAATAACACACAGCAGGAAGGATAATTAGTGGTGTGAAACCTACAAATGCAAGGTTATTGGCTAATTGAAGTAAGTGCAGTCTCAGTTTTGGGATTTCCATCATTATCTGGTCTATAGAGCCATCATTAATTATTTTAAAGAAGTTTAAATTACAATCACAAATCAAAGACTTTTTATGTAACATTTCGATTAAGAATGGCAAAAACAGAAGGGAAATCTTGTAAAACGAAGTATTCCATATAATTTAGAAATATTTAAGCCTCCTATAAGATGCCTGTCAATATTCAACTTACTAGATGATTTCATTCAACCTTTATTTATACAGGTTAATCCCATTGAGCCTCGGGTTACTCATTTACAAGAGAGACCTGATTTTAACAGAGTGATAACAGACAACAAAGACAACAGTAGACAATCATAAAAGGAAGCATACAAATTGAGAGAAACGGTGAAAATAAAATGGTATTAAAAAAATTTAACAAGAAACATCTAGGTTGTAAGGCGATGCAGAAAACTAAAAGCAGGAACATGTCTGCGTTGAGTTTTCCCATGAACTTAGCAGATGTTTGAAGCCACTTAGAGAGGTCAAGGTTGAGAGCTTTAGATCTTTTTGTAAGATATTCCAGGAAACAGGAGCGAAGTAGGAGAAGGCCCTTTTGCCTAGTTCAGTCTGTATTGAGGGGACACTGCAGGTAATAATGTCCTGAGAGCGCACGCTGTAGCTGCACTCATACAGAGACGTATAGGAGGAGATGTATGTAGGCAGCAGACCAAGAAGTGATTTAAAGATGAAAATGTACCAGTGTGAGAGTGTGCGTGAAGTTAATGATGACCAGTTAACCAGTGAATACAGGGTGCAGTGGTGGGTGATAGTTACAGCCATGAATATTAGTGCACCGTGATGGACAGCGGCCAACATCTTCAGGGTGCTTGTAGGGACGTTCATGTAAATAATATCATAATTGAATAATTAGATTGAAGGCATTAATAATTTTCCTGTTTATTTTTCAGTGTTAGCAAAACATCTCATGAAACACTAGATGGATTTTAATGAAACTCTGAAAGTAACCATTGGACATACATCTACATAACATTTGGAGCCAACCCAGTTCAAGTTGCCCGCTCCAACCAGCTCACTTTAGTAAACAGAAATAGTGACCTCAGTCAGTTTTACAGATACTGTACTGAGCTCTAATTTAGTGTGGTTGTAGCTGAGAGTCATTCACAACACATACTCTGAGCACTAACATATTGTGTGACACCTCACAATATTGTCCGACAGTGCACATAATGTTACTTTCAAGGTTTGACCAAAACATCTATAACGCTGTCATTTCTTCATAGTCTTACTTTAAAACTCCAGCATGAAAGATGGTGGATGATATGCATGTCTTCAAGTAGTGCTAGACTTTTAATTTCTCTGTATTTTATTTAAAGCAAAAAGAACTTAAAACGTCTCATCGGAAAATATAATGCTGAAACTAGTGGTGACACCAGTACTAAAGCACATACTAGTACAAGTATTAGACCTGACACCAGACTCAAATATTTGTACTTGTACCCATAAAAACACTGATAATTCAGACTGATACCACTTTCATTCTTGTTGATGTCATTTTTTCTTCCATTTTGCAAGCAAGTGATGACAAAACATTAAAAAATACTTTGTTTGGTGATATCTTAAGATTACACAGGTGATGGTAAGACAACATATTGTCTGCTATGGTCCAAATAAAATAAATGTGTTTCTAAAGTCACTATATAATGTTTAAGTACTAATTCACTTATTGGCAAGTACCCAAACTGAAGTACTTGTACACTGTTTGGAAAAAAAACTGGTATTGGGTCACCACCTGTTGAAACTCTCTCATGCTTCAGTAAAATAATGCAACAATTGGGCTGCTTCATAATTTACATATTCACCAGCGTCTTTTAACTTTTGTTCTGGTTCATGTTTGGGATTGGTCTCCTGATTACATCATTATTTACGACATTGAAAATAACCTGGGGTGATTTATAGAGTTGCTAAGCAGCGTCATGATGTGTGATCTCTAATGTTAGCATCAGTTAAAATACTCTGAATATGTTGAACCTGCTTCGTATAAAGACTCTGGTTTTAGGGCAGTGGAATGCAGCTGAAGGAAACCCGAGCGAAGAACCATAAAAGCAAGGCACACTGAACGGAACATAAAAAGTTAAAACAAAACCCAAACACCATAATCCATGAGGTCTGATTGCATTGTTCCTTCATACAGAAGTATGTTTGGTCCTGACTTCAGGTTTTTGTTTCACCCATCAGGTATCACTCGTACAGAGAAGGACAAAGGAACGCTGTACGAGCTGACCTTCAGAGGGGAGTCCACTCATGAGTTCAGGCGCCTGGTCCTCTTCCGGCCCTTTGGACCCCTGATGAAGGTGAAAAGCGAGAGGATGGACACGGCCGACGTCCTGATTAACATCATCGTCCCACTTTCTGGACGAACGGATAAATTCAAACAGTTCATGCACAACTTCAAGTCAGTCAAACAGTGTGGCATCGACAGAAACTCCATAAATCATGCATAATGTTTCTTTTTTTTATCACACGTAACTCAATCAGGAAAATGAGACACCCGTGGTTAATGGTTGTACAAAGTGGGGCAATGAGTTTGGAAGACTGCAGGACTGAAAACTGTCTTTCTGCTCTTATCAGTTAATTTATTTGGTGCTAGCAGGCATAACCAGAATTTCCACAATAATAGGAGTAAAGCTGTTCTAACAGACTGCAGATCAGTTTGTCAGTTCCCACAAAACCACATCAAATAATTTACTAGGGTACTTCATTATCACCAATTTGTTTTAACATTTATTGAAGATGTAGAGTTACAGCTACGGAAGAACCAGGACCTACTGTATTTTCCTCCGTACACGTCGCACCACCCTATAAGACGCATCAGTCCAGTTATGTCTAATAAAGTGGAAACATCCATAAACATGTCGCATTTATTATGCGTCACCGCTGACAACCTGGAAATATGGGCCGGTGTTGTGCCAAAAATCGACTGGCTGCCAAATGGCGGCCACGAGAGAGTGCACAGGAGGACTTTAACAAGAATTTAACAAGATTAACACTTTAAAATAATTGTTTGCTCGAAATTATAGTAAAAGTGTGTCACAGTCTAACTTTTGCTTAATAAATGCACTTTGATGGTCAAATCAGCTGCGTTTCAAAACCCGATTTGCAGAAGCGGGCCCGTGTAGAGGGACGAGCCGCTGTTCATTTCTTCGAAAATTAACAAGATAAACACCGAAAAACAATTGTTTGCTCGACTTTATGGTAAATATGTGTCTCAGTCAAACTTATCCTTAATAAAAAGAATTTAATGGTCACATCCGCTGTATTTCAAAAATATTCGCTGCCTCGGTGCTCCCGGGAGCGCGCAGACAGGGAGGAAAAAAAGGAAATTGACAAGCAAAGCACCTAAAACAATTATTTGTTTGCTCAAAATTATAGCAAAGGTGTATCTCAGTTGAACGTTTACTTAATAAATGCACTTTAATGGTCAAATTAGCTTCATTTCGCCGAGGCGGTGCAGCGAAATGAAACTGATGACGGATGCTCCAAGCAGCGAGTAGAACGAAGGTGGCAGCTATGGCAAGTCGATTGTGTCATTAATAGCTGGTGAAGATTCTCAGTCATCCAGGACATGGCAAATTCAAAAAAGTTCAAGACAAAAACAATAAAGTGTAAAGTATAATAAATAAAATCCAGTTGTTTTTGTCTTGAACGTTTTTGAATGTGTCATTACAGCCACTTTTACCTATTACATGATACATCTGCATGCCTTACTACTCTGGTGCCATCTAGCAGCTGAAAAATGGTAGCGTTCAATTTTTTTCATTCAAAATGAATGAAAACCGTCATATCTCAGTCAAAAATTGGTTTATAAATATAGGAAAAATAATCCATAAATACGTTGTTTTGGCCAGTAAGTCACAGGGCATGTAAATTATGTAAAAAAAATGCAACTTATACAACAAAAAATTCGGTACTAATTTTAGACATACCACATTTTTTGGTCTATAAGGTACATTAAGCGAAATAAGTTCATTTTGACAGATTTTTGATCGCCGTGTACCACATAAAATCAGCTCGAGGTCAGTAAGCACAACCAGAATTATTACATAAGGTGCACTGGAATATTCAAGGATTTTAAGTGCGTCTTATAGTCCAAAATATACGGTACGAGTTTTTGCATCTATAATTTTAATCACATTTTTTAAGTAGAACATTGTGTATACCAATAAGACAAAGCCATGATCATATTTTAGTTAAATAGAATGGTAGAAAGGTCTACATCTCTTAAGTCAGTGCAGCTCCGCAAAGTAAAATTAAAATATGATTTTTTTCTGTAACATCCCAGGAAGAGCCGTCAGCTAACAGCACAAAGTGGTTGTCTCAGCTTCGCTGTCCGCCCCGATCAGTGGAAGAAATGTCCTCCTTAATGTGCTTGATTTAGAGTTTAGTCGCTGCTGCTTATCACAGCTCTTTTTACATGCTTAGTGGAATTGTTGGAACCCATTAAAATGACCCCCCATCCCCCACCACCATCGCCACCACCTTCCCTGGGCAGTCCTGCAGTGGTTGATGTACAGCTAGGCAAAACTGATGAAAGACTTAGTGAGTTGCTGAGCACACAGTTTCCTCTCATCTGTAATAAAGGTGCAATAGAGTGTCTGGGTGATAAACACAACCAGTGCTTTTTTATCATAACCTATTAATTCATTCAGTTGAAAAAAAAAAGTGCATTTCCTTCAGCTAAGATGCAAGAAAAACTGCAAGTTCTGCACGCAGACCTTGTAACTTAAAAATAAACCGTCCATTTATGGAACAATAAAAGTATTAAAGCAAATATAAATATAGATATAAATGAGTTTACTTGTGTATGAGAATATTTGAAGCACAAATTCCTCATAAATTTAATAGAAGCCACAGTTTTTCTAAAAACTGTCACAGTGTCACCTAGGGAAATAGAGGTTGCCCACTGAGGGTGCTAGGCAAGTTTTGGAGCTGCCATCTTGTTAGGTGCTACATGTATCTCTGTACAGTTTACATTTATAAGGCACACATTGTTAAGGCCTTGTGCTGATGTATGCTGTGTCATCTGCCCAAAATCGAATAGATTTAATACATGTATTATGCACATTGTAAAAAAAAACAACTTGGGGACAAGATTATTCTGTAATGAGCCTCCCTCTAATCAAGCATTAACAGCAGTAAATCTCAGACTGTGTGAGAACTTACGGGTCAAGCGTTAGGCCTAAAGAAATAAAGCTTATTAACTGCCCTTAAATTAGTAATTTACTTCGTTTTCCATATAATTTGGAAAATATTTAATCCTATAAAATTCATGTCAGGATTTAAACATGAACCTTTTGTTTGGCTATTACCCTAATTCACTACCATTTAGCATATATATGTTATCATAAAATAGGTAAAACATGGTTGTAGACTAACTGTGAGGAAAATGTTTACCTAATCTTGATAAAAAATATGTTCTCAGTCAACTGGTGTATGCTTTACAGTAATTATAGCAAACTAATAGTAAAATGTGTCAAATTAGTATTTCCATTTTTTTAATCAGATAACCATAATGCCACATTCTTAAAGTCATGGCTCTAAAAATTATTACAACTGATGGCAAAACATTTAGCTATTTGGCTGAGTTTAATTTCTCAGATCTTCATGGTCAGCTGCCATACTGGCAGTACTAAGGATGGCACGTAGCACTTATACCAAGATTGCCATCTTGGTAGGTGCTTGGTAGGTTCCATTTCAGTGATGTGATCACATTGTCAGTACGTCCATTTTAAGAGGATAACTTTGAGTCTCATGCTTTTGTTTTTTTAATTTTCACCCTCTTCGTCAATTCAAACATGAGTCTGCAGAAAACAAAAATCAGTAAGCACTTGGACATAATGATCAGAACTGTAAACGCATTGTCTGTTTGTGTTGATGGTTGGCCTGTGAATACGATTGGAGAATTTGACTTATCTTTGATCTAATTTTGAAACTCTTTTACAGCTCAGCTCACCTCATAAATAAAACCTCCACATCTTCTCTCTAGAAGGAAGAGTGGTCCTAGTTCTCTTCCTTCCTCCAAACCCCGGTTTGCTTCGTTTATGTAAGGCTTTTATCCCTAATGTCCCATTCTTTGTGTGTTTTTTTTTTTTTTTTTACACAGGGAAGTCTGCCTACGTCAGGATGGCCGGGTGCATCTGACAGTGGTGTATTTTGGGAAGGAGCAGATAAGCGAAGTCCGCAGCACTCTGGAAAACACATCCAGGTGTGTTTGAGCTTCAACTAACAATCAGACAGTTGAATTAGACGCCAAAGAAGGTGCAGTGAAGTATGAAAAACTTTGCTTTTCATGTCCAAGTGAAACCTTGTAAATAACATCATGTTCGATCACATGTCAGATGTTGTGTTTGAGATGACTCAACTCATACCATGCCAAATTTTAGGTCAGGGTTTGTAAAATTTACTGACTTATAGCCATTTTTGTGCTTTCCAAGGTCGCTAAGTCTTGGCAACCATCTTGAATTGGGTTAACACCAAAGGTTAGTCAGTTGTAGACGTACAGCCAATTATTACTTTCTGAAAGTACCACTAAAATCTGTCTTGTGGTTCTAGAGATATTTTGCAAAGAACCGGACCTTATCAGTTAAAGTTTTGAACAACAATGTTGCACAATGAGTAGTGCTCAGGTTATGTGTTGTGGAGGATGCTCAGCTACTACCACACATAGTTTTACCTTAATATCTGTAAAACTGACCGAGTTGTAGCCCTTTTCGTGTTCCTTAACGTTAGTTGGCTGTGGCGGCCATCTTGACATGTTAGTTAAACAGTTGTGGCTACATATCAAAGTAACTTCCAGAGTTTCATTAAAATTTACCCTATGGTTTATGAAATGTTTTGCTAACAAACACCTGCAGATATGTCTAAAAACATTGTTACTTTTACAACAGGTGGCAGGTGATAACCCCATTTTACACTAGAATCACCTCCATTTTGCTTTTTGTAATCACTCTCCATGTCATGACACACAAACCTGAAGTGAACATACACCCTCCTGGCTCTGTGTCCTGCCACAGCCAATAATATACTTGAGGAATAATGCAGAGCAGTGTGCCACCCGGGCCAAAGAACCAACACCGGTAAATTACACTGGGCCTGCGATCATCCCTGACTCACCCTGCCCTTTAGCAACGAACCTCGGTGCCCACACCACCCCAGGAGACGATCGCTGCGGGCCGATCAGGAGTCAGACCCATCTGTGAACTGAACCACACATTGCCCCGAGGGGTTGCTATGGCGATGCTTGTCAATTTCCCTACCTCGAAGGTGTGTGTGTGTGTGTGTGTTTGTGTGTGTGCGCGGCCTTGAATCGGTCGGCCCATCTCCAGCACCACACAGCGTCTCTTTGTTCCTCGGTTGGAGACTCAACAGAAAACACATTCTGAAAGTGAAGAAATGAAGATGGCAAATTTTGAATCTGTAAATGTCGAGGATATAAAGAACAAAATGGGGAAAGAAAAAACATGGAATTCTGCTGGTTAAGATTTGCAAAAAAAAAAAGGAGAAGTGTAATAAAATGTCTCAGTTTGACCCATTTTCTGTAATCACTACGTGGGGGCTTTCAGACTGACCGAAGAGACAACTTCCCATCATGTGAAGCCTCAGGGGAAGGATGTCAGTATCCACACACATTTTGTGTTTGCTAGCAAAATATTTCATGAGCCACTGGACAGATTTTAAGGAAACTTTTAGAAAATAATCGCTGGATGTAACTCTACAACTGTTTAACTTTTGGCGTCAACCCCATTCAAGATGGCTGCCACAGTTGACTTAACATCAGCAAATAAAAGTTGTTATAACTTAGTCAGTTTTACAGATACCGAACTTGAATTTAGTGTGGAAGCAGCTGATAGTTATTCACAACGCATATTTACAATTTTCATTTGTTTTAAGTGATGCTTTGTTCTGGCTCACCATGGAGTGGTGATCAGGATCTGCCAGAATCAGCCTGGCCTTGTTCACTGACCTCGCCTTGTGTAGGTCAGTGAGGTTCTGTAGGGCTATGTCAGCGGTTTTGCTACCATCCTGACACAACCTGAGAGTTTGTTCCTATTTTTATATGTCAAAAGTCCAAACCAACAGATGAAGGTAAAAGTTAAGAGACTCGTTAAAACGTGAGTAAAATATTCTCATAAAAGTCGAATAAACATTAAACCCACAGAGCTTACGATAAAAATGCATTCTCTGATGGGCCTTTTTACAAAGTGAGCATGTGCATCAAAGGTCAGTTTGTCATCAGTTCCCAGATATTTATATTGATGCACCACCTCAACAACGTCACCATTACCAGCGCCATTGTTCAGTTCGCTCAAAGGTACAGCTCAAAAACAAGCGCACGTCTAATGGATGTCCGTTTCTCTGCAGCAGAGTCGACATCATCAGTCGGACTCTGCACAGTTCCTCCAATTAATTCAATTCCCCTCCACCAACTGGTTTGGTTTGTGCTTATTCCAAAAGGACCTCAAGCTAATGGTGTTTTGTTTTTTTATTCCTCTAAAATAACAAAGCTGTCACACACCCTGCCTTTATGCTGGACCCTGTCCCTGATTAATATTACAGACATTATTTACTGCATAAACAGACTCTTCCTGAAAACCTGTGGGGTTTGACTAATCATAAATCGTTACTGTAGATGTAACTCAAACCCACTATAAATGATTAATATTAGGGTGTCATTCATTAAAAGCCATATCACCTGCCACCTTTCATATGTGAAGTTTAAACTCTGATCATCTAATGTTAAAAAAAAATAAAAATACAGAACTGTATCCGTTTAGGTCAAATCTTGAAAATAATGTTCTTAAAATCTCATGTTATCTCATAAGAAATCATTCTCAGAGTATGTTATGAATGACTCTCAGCTACTACCACAGCAAATTTCAGTGCAGTATTTGTAAAACTGACTGAGTTACATTTATTTTTGTGTTGGATAATGTTGATTAGCTGCGGTGGCCATATTGAGTTGAACTGACCTCAAAAGTTAATCAGTTGTAAATGTTTATCCAATACTTTCTGAAAGTTTCTTTGTAATCTATTTATTTGTTCAAGATATTTTGCTAACAGACAAAGCTAAAGTTTCATTAAAGATTTTGCACAATGAGTAGCTCTTGGAGTAAGTCTTGTAAATAACTCTCAGCTACTACTACACCACATTTTAGTCCATTATCTGTCAAATTGATTGATATGTAACCATTTCTGTGTTTTCTAATGCCAGCTGGCTATGGCGGCCATTTTGAATGGGGTTGACTCCAAAAGCTAAACAGTTGTAGATATACAACAATTATTTTCTGATTCATTCAAATTTGTCTTGTGGTTTTTGATATTTTGTTTTTACAAATAGTTGATGACTAAATTGTTCTCAGAGATCCTGCCTGACTGGTTCACTGTTAGCATATGTGTTGGGGATCAGTCTCAGCTACTACCACTACAAATATTACGTGAATATCTTGAAAATTGATTGCGTTATACCCATTTTTTGTTTACTAAAGGTCAGTGGTGGTGCCATCTTGACGTGTGTTGGTTCAGAAAGTTAATCAGTTGTAGATGTACGTCCAGTGGTACTGTTTGTGAGTTTCATTGAAGTAGTTTTACGAAATTCTACTTTTATTTGCATTAAACACCCAAAATAACAGAATATGCACACAAGGGTTTGGGGAAAAATCAACCACACATTTATTTTTGTCAGAGCTTATATTATATTATTTTATTTATTTGGTGCAGTCAACAAATATGATTATTTATTTATTTATTTTTTTCAGAAAAAGCCTAAAAATGTTTCAACTTTTTGGTTTATTTTGTTATAATTTTTTTTCAAATGCTCAGTAACTTTACTACACACTTGTTATTTTTTGTTAAAATCAGTTAAATTAGAATACACTGTAAAAAGACATTTTAATATTTTTTCATATCATCTGTTTTTTTTTTAATCTTTATTACTAAACTTTCAATTTTTATGATAGCTCACGAGGTGGTGCCTCGCTTTTATATTTGAGAGCCTCGGAAAACATCCACTGACATGCAGTTCAGCTCAACGTAGAAAAGGTACATCTTCCCCGGGAAGATCCCAGTTGAGCCCCGCCTCTCATCTCGTCCGACAAAATTGTTTTAGTTTGGATGTAAAGAGCAAAAACTCACTTGTAATGTGCACAAGTAAACATTTAGTACTTCAAAGATGTTCCACATGCGTTAAGGCTGCAGAATGAAATGCTCCACGGCTGACGGCCGTCGGTTTATCTGAAGGCAGGAAGTCATTAGCAGGTGTAGCGTGCACCTGCAGCTCGCTATAGTGGGCAAAAGTAAAAAAAAAACTAAAATTAAACGAAAGAAAAAAATATTTTTTATTTAAAACAAAGAAAAAAATTATTAGAAAAACCTCCACGTGCAAAAACCAGAAGAGTGTTTGACTGAAAACAAAGCCTCATTATTGGCTGCTGATTCTGAAGAGTCTAGTGGTCAAGAGGGTCGTCACAAAACTATGGACTGGATTTTTTTTTTAATTGGCAAAAAGTTTTATTGGGCACACTAATGGGGGAAAATACCTTTAACTTTGTCTCCCCTACACCTCCCTTGGAAAAATTGACGTAAAATAAATATTTTGTGAATTTAAAAAAAAAAGAAATGTGGAGGTTTTTTTTTTTTTTTTTTACTTAGAGTTAAAATAATAATGAAAAAAAATTAATTTGGTATTTTTATTTCAGAATGAGATAGTTCTAAAAGACTGACATTAAAAAATAGTCCATCATTAAACAGGGACTGTTAATGCTATTGACGGCTTGGCCCTCTGTGTCAGCAAGCGGCCATCAAGGTGCTAACAATCCATCATTATACTGATGGTCCACCTTTTGCATGTGGACAACTAGTTTTGGCTGTCACCAGCAAACTGGTTGATCCACTATGAGAAGGTGCTGCTTATAAGATCAAGTTTATTGCAGCTCCTCAGTTTGAGTCTTTTGGATAAAAGACAAAACGTTTCAACAAGAAGAATCCGTCCAGAGGACCTGACTCCACCTTGTTAGATTTATCTGCCTGGATTATTGAGAATGCATCAAGATACTGTATTAAAATAGTATTTTTAAGCAGTTAAATAAGGTGGTCCATGTTTCCCCAAAGGAACAGGAATGGTCATAAAGTTAAAAGGACGATACAAGGGTTAACATTCAGAAAATTATGGCTTCACACACTTCCTATTTTATAAAGGATGTTTCAAATCAGCCTGTTCAGATGGTCTCGTTTCAAAAAATAATGCTCAGAAATAAACACTTCAAAGCTTCGATCCCAGACTCTCTTGGGGGTGGGAGGCTGTAAATATCTGATGCTCTCATCTTTCAGGATAGAAATTCACAACACTGTGAAATAAAGAAGAGGAGGGGGAGCATCATGGGGGAGACCGTGATTAAAGGAGAGAGAGAAGTGCGAGCGCTCCGCTCAGTCAATACGTGTAAATAATGACTGCGTCGTGGACGCGGAGACGAGATGAAGGCTCGGGGAAGACACTGTGCGGAAGTTAGTGGAGAGGTGAACAGATAAGCTTAGAAAGCTGCACTAATGTGGGAAAAAATACTAATTATCAAAAATGAAACGAGTCGATTAATGAGGATTTTAGAGGAAACTGATAAAAGATAAAAGGATTGAAGAAGACAATCACTTTTTCTGTTTTTTTTTTTTTTACTTTGCATCTTCCCTTTCATAAATTGTCACATTTGGACCATTGCCATGAATCTTCGAGGCTCAACGAGACTAACCTGGATAAAGAAAGGTCCAACTGAATTGAATTTTAGACAGATGCCAGATGATTCAGTTCAATTAAATATCCTCCTAAAGCTCAGAGGAAGAAGTAAAACATTGGAAGTTTAAGAAGAGATAATGAGTGGATCTCATAACAAACTAGCTGAATCGTTGTTTCAGCAGATCTGTTACACGTGCCGTGTACTCAGTTATTAAATCGTAGCTGTCTCGCCTCAGGCCTTAGCTGGAAACTGCATTTTTTATAGCTTTGCTCTTGCTTCTGCGTTACATGTGTCGACTACTGATTACCTGACTGCAGCCCAGGATCTGTTGGCTTTTATAAAACCGTTCAGAAGAGGAACTGTACCTCCTACTTTGGCTGCTCAATGAACAGAGTAGAAGAAATAATCAACAACATAAACTGTGTTATGTTAAAAAAAACGAATAAATAAAAGTTGCAGCATCAAGGCTGAGTGCTGAATGACTTTGCTAAAGTAACAAAAACTGAATTTTTAATGGTAAAAGTAGCAGAACACTAGCTCAAAACTAAAAAGACAATTCTATCTTAAGTTGCAAAACACCAACTAAAATAACAGAATACCAGCTAAAAGGTTAACTGAGCAAAACACTAGCTAAATGCTAACAGGACCTAATCACAAGCTAAAAACTAAAGGGTGCTTAATTATTGCTAAAAGTAGCAAAAATATTCATTAGAATAAGCAGAACACCTTCTAGCAGGTAAACGAAACAAACAGCAGCTAAAACTTAAAAGTAACAAAACTTTTGTTTTTAAAATCCTATCTGAAAGTATCAAAAGGTCTCCGAGGCTCAATGGGATTAATCTGTATAAATAAAGGTTGAATTTTAAAAAAAGGGCTAACTGGAAGCTAAAAATATCAAAAGGCTAACTAGAAGTTAGAATAGCTTAAATAGAGTAGCTAAAAGCTAAGCAAAATGTGGCAAAGGGCTAACTAGATGTATCAGAATGGTATAGAAGCTAAACATAGCATAACAGCACCTATATTGTAAAAGTAGCAAAATGCTAGTTTAAAGCTAAATGTAGCAGAACAGTAACTAAAACCTAAAATAGTAAAAAGTAGCAGAAAAAGGAAAAAAATAAAGTGTGCATGTTGAAGCAGATATCTATATTCTATGAATTGAATTTGTATTTGTAAATAAAGTTCAATAATTTTAAAAGTATTCAAAACCAAACATAATGCACCAGTGAGCTGAAATGAAATGAGCTGAACTCTTTTCGGCTGGTAAAGCTGATTTGAAAATATGTCAATACAGGCAGTTAGTCTTCATTTTTTAATTGTATTCATTAAAAAATCTTTACAACCGCAGCTAATTAAAGCTAATCATTATTTACAGCTGAGTGGTTGGATTAGTCTCTGCTGCAGCCACGATTAGATGCAGTTTGGGGATTAAATCTGGATGCTTTGGTTTGTTCACATCTTTGCTCCAATAATAAAAGTTAATTTAATTATGCATTCAACACAACCTTCCAGTTTTTCCTTATGCTCTCTGTGCGACTCTCCGGTGTTTCCAGCTGCTCGTGTTGGATTCTGCTGAACAGTTTTAAAAGCTTCAAGACTTTTTCTCTGTTTTTGTCTGAACAAAACATGGAAACGGTTCAGGTTTCAGGTCCGTCTCATAACAGTTTATCTGGTTCTGTTGATCTCAGATGAGATGAACTCGGTGCCGCATTAAAGCTGAGGCTAAATTACCCGTGCATGCAGGCGGTGTTGTGTTGGAAACAAGCAGAGCCATTGTTCCGTCTTTGCCATCTGTGGACACTTTAGTTCCAGCAGCACAGCCCTCCATGCTGGACTCTGAGGCGTAGATTGACTCTGTTTGGACTCGGACAGACTTGGGCGCTGGAGTCTTGGATTTAGAGGAGGTTCAACATCATAAAGGTTTTATCTTGTGGTATTTATGGAGGGAGGCTGAACGGATCGGAGTGAGACAAAAGGCTTTAAACTGCAGCATAAGCAAGTAAATCTGTTGTAAACACTATGGACAAACAGCAGAGACAGGTTGTGTGTGGGATGATTCAGGCCACTTCAGGTGAAATGTTTCCTCTGGTCATGCTTGTTTCCTCCTACAAATGTCTGCCCCTTGAGCTGCTGTTTCCCACGTGCAGTTTTTCCTAACAGCCCAGAAACGAAACGGGATGTTTCATCCTGTTTGTTCGGCTTCAAACAAGACATGTGAGACGGCCTTTCCTCAGCTTCCTCCATCTGAAGACGATGCGTGTGTGCATGTGTGAGTGTAGGTGCAGGGACAAGTGAAGGATTAGTGACTAACAGCGTGATTTGTTTTGGTTAATGAAAAAGCCACAGCTGCGTGCATCTGGATCCAGCTGTTTCTATTTACTAAGGCCGCAACCGTTTAGTCAGCAACAGAGGGAGGCTTGTTTGGTACTCATTTTTTAACTTTTCTTCAATCTCGACTCAAATCTAATGGAAATTAAAGACTGAGCAACGCTTGAAGGGATGAGACTGGAGACTATCTTATGTTTGGAAATTACAGAAGTTATAGCTGTTTTTTTTTTTTTGTGAAAGCTTGGAAATAGTTGTGTGCTGATATGTCCTGCAATATCACAAGATGTCATACTCAGAGTATGTGTTGTGAATGACTCTCAGCTACTACCATATCAAATTTGAACTCAATATCTCTCATAATTACTAACGTATAACCATTTCTTTGTTGGCTAATGTCAATTAGCTATGGTGGCCATCTTTAATTTGATTAACTCCTAAATTAAATCTTTGGTGTAAATCTATCCAATGATTACTTTCTGCAAATTTCATGCAAATGTATCCAGTGGTTCATGAGATATTTTGCTAACAGACACAAAGTAGGCTTCGTATAGTTAATAGCAAAATTGTAAAACAAAGATCTTCAGCAACATGTTAGCAATCAAATTATTATTGCCACCCCAAATTTTTGTTCAATATTTTTAAAATCGGCCAAGTTGTAGACATTTTTATGTTTTTAAAGTTGACCGTAGCAGCCATCTTGGATTGAATCCAAAAGGTAATCAATTGTAGAGGTGCATCCATTGATTACTTTCTGCAACTTTCTTTCAAATTTATTCTATGATTCTATGAGGTCCAGATGACCTGACTGAAAAATGTTGGATATTATACCTGGATTATTGAGCATGGACTTTGTTATTCTATGTTTCTTAAGTTATTTTAAAAATGGACACACAGACGAGGGCGAAAGCATCATCTGCCTTTTCCTTTCGGTAAAAAAAAAAAAAAGTTTGCTTTCGTTTTGTTTTGTTTTCTTTCTGGGAAACCTGCTCTGGTGATAAATACTACAGGCAATAAAAGCAGATAAAAATACCGTTCAGATAAAAAGTCCCACAGAAGATAGAACTGTCAAGATAACTCTAATTTATGAGTTTATCATTTTGGTTTACCCTCTTTCACTTTACAAATATGTTTGCTTTGAAGATAAATTGGTATGAAGTCATTGTGTGAAGTTGGGCTGCAATAATCAACCAAAGAACAGAACATCCAGGTTGAGTAAATAAACATTAAAACTACCATTTATGTAATAAAATATAAACATCCAGCATTTCTTGAAGGACCCTTAATGCTCACAACCTTCCATGCCAAAGTTTTAAATTAAAATCTTGCCGGATGTTATCGCTCTATCTTTTAGAGACAATGATCAGCGTTTTCCACACTAAATTTTAATTTAATATCTTTAAAACTGACTTTTTTAAGCTATTTTTAGTGTATTTTGTGTGTTTTGTGTATGCTAAGATTGATTAGCTGCGGTAGCCATCTTAAATCTGATTGATTCCAAAACTAAATCATTTATAGTTGTATATCTAATGGTTAATACATGAAAGTTCCATTAAAATTCATGCATAGGTTCACTGAATATTTAGCTAACAGACAAACAAACAAACCTTCATATTTGCATGATTTGCTGCCTTTCATGGTAGCAATAAAATCATCTTGTGTGAAATTATTTAAGACTATTTTCTACTTTCTTGTTATTTAAACCAGCAGAGTTCAACTTTAAGTGAAGATTCTTCATCTCTAACCCCCCTCTTACGGTTTCTGTGCTACTAAAGGGAAGCGGGTTTTAAGAACTACACTCTGCTGCAGCTGGACGAGGAGTTTTCTCGGGGACGGGGTCTGGACGTAGGGGCCCGGGCCTGGAAGACGAGCAACGTGTTGCTTTTCTTCTGCGACGTGGACATCTACTTCACCGCTGACTTCCTGAACACCTGCAGGCTGAACACACAGCCTGGTGAGACGCCACACACACATACTCAATGAATTAATTAAAAAAAAAAAGATAATTAAATAAATAATTAAATAGAACTCAAATCTTACTTTTATTTTATTGAGACTGTTAATCATTTGAGTTCTTTCATGATTCACACACCATCCCAAATTAAACTTTTTGGACCAATTTTTATTTATTTATTTATTTATATTGTACTTTATTAATCCCCAATGGAGAAATTAATTCTCTGCATTTTTCCCATTGCACATGTGAGAACACACATGTGAAGCAGTGGGCACCTGAGGAGCAGCTGGGGGGATTAAAGCCAGAGTGGGACAAATGAGAGTGGAGGCAGTTGTGTGTGTTTCTAGTCCTGTCACGATAACAACTTTTGCTGGGCGATTAATTGTCTCAGAAATTATTGCGATAAACGATAATATTCTTTGAAATTTGACAATAGTTAGTAATTATTGTCAAATTTAGGAAGAAATGTTGGTTAATTTTATGTGTAGTATCTTTTTTGACCACCGGATGGCAGTATAAGACAGTTTGGACTGAAGGATGGATAGTGAGGGAGCGAACAGCGTGTCCCTTTAATAAAAATGGGAGGGAGGCCCCTTGACGTGACGTGTGCTGTCTCTCTTCAGTTCTCAAAATGGCAGACGCTCATACAAAAACACAACAGTAGGTGGCAGTACTGGAACATGTTTTGAGTAAGAGCGTCAATAACAATAAAGTTTAACAAACATTTTTCATTTTACCACAAAGTGCGGTAAACTCTGCTTTATCGTGTCGGAGTTTGGATAACATTACGACTCATTTAGCTTCGGTTTGGTAATTTTCTGACACGCCTACTGGATTGATTGACAGGTCGCATCGTGGATCCGACTCGTGGAAAAAAAAAAATTAACGACAGCTGTTAAAAAAAAAAAAAAGTCTTGTACGACTTTATTCTTGTAATATTAAGACTTTATTTTCGTAATTTTATGACTTTTAATTTTTTTTTCTTAGTGTGGCAATGTAATTTTTTAATTTTTTTTTTATCGTGGCCCTAAAGCTCCATCGTAGTTAAAAATATTTTTCTTTTTAGACCCAAAAAAATTACTATAAACAAAGTTTTTTTTTTTTACTTTCTTGAGGTTCATTATTTTCAACTGAGGAAGTTTCAGAAATCTTGGATTTTTGTCTTAGTTTTAACTTCTTGATGTTTTAATGGCAACATGTAGACGTCACAACTCCTGCTCTGTTGTTTAGACATTAAATCTGCCTTTTTTTTCAACCAGGTGACCTGACACATTTCAGGAATCCTATTTAATGGCTTGAGTCTGGTAATAATTCTGCTTTGACTGAACATTTTATGGACTTGATTGTTTTGTTTGCTGCTGTAGTAGAGCTCAGTATATCAGGTCTGATAAGTTCGAGTCACCCATGCTTGTCTGAAGACACCTTCTTATCGCTGGCGTACGTGGTTGAGGCATTATTAGGACGACGTGTTGGCAAAACCAAAAGTGGCAAACTTCTCATCTATTGAAATGTGTAACAACTGAAACTAGCGTTGATTGAAAGAATGCATGTCCGTCACCAGGTAATCAACTCTCTTGTGGCATTTTTTGGTGCCAGCATGTAATTTCCTCAGGGAGGAAATCCAGGAGGAGCTCAGAATAGAACCACTCCACACTGAGATCAGGAAGCTGATGTGGTTCAGGTTCTTGATGAAGACTGTCTCTGGTCTGGCCTTCAGCAGCGTGGGACCTCAGAGTGGATTTGACAGTCTGCAGCCATATTTTATTAGCAAGATGCTATTTAAGAGCTAAAAGTAGCAAAAAGCTAACTAACTAGCAATATTCTAAAACAAATATAGAGAAAGTAAGCTGAAGCAGATTTCAACAAGAACAATGTTTTAATATTATATTATTATTTGTACAATGAATAAAATAATTCTGAAAAATATAAAAGTTACAAAAAGGCACTCATATCTCCCATTGGGCTGAACATCGTTGTTTAGAAACAGCAAAATGGAGTTCAATTACAAAAAACATCCGAATAAATCCAACCAGGAACTTGGTGTCCACACAACTGAAGTGCTGCAGAACTTGTGCACGTTTCCATCAACGCCCCCGGTGAACTGGCTCCCTGCTGTGTCTCTGCAGGTAAGAAGGTCTTCTACCCCGTCTTGTTCAGCCAGTACAACCCCACGCTGATCTATGGAAGTCCTGAGCACATCCCGCCTGTGGAGCAGCAACTGGTAACGCATAACAATCAAATCCTTCTCCTTCCCTTTAAAAATCTTTTATTCCGCTCTGAAATATTCTGCTGCTTGATCTACAGATCCTGCTGCGTGCGTTCAAGTTTGTACATCTCTAAACTGTCCCTGCAGGTGATCAAGAAAGACACGGGCTTCTGGAGGGATTTTGGTTTCGGCATGACTTGCCAGTACAGATCCGACTTCATCAACATCGGTAAACAGAACAAAACAATGACATGACGGGGCGTTCGGTGCAGAGATACTAATCACAGCATCTTCAGGAATTCATAAACACTTCCTCCTGAGGGTTGATTATCTGTGTTGAGGTGTTATATAACGCAGTAAAAATGAAGCTGCTCCAATTACAACAAAACAATGTGCATAATTGCTACGATAATGATGCTAATGACCTGAAAAAGGAAAGGTTTGCATTATTTTTTTAAACAGGGAGGAGATTTTATTATTTTCTCTGCATTGAAAACAAGCAGACAGCAGCATCTATTAGCATCTTCCCATCTTCTCTGCATCTGTACTCTGGCTGAATTATTTCAGCTCTCCCGACAGATTTACATCAAATCTGTTTTCCTCCAAAATGAAATATATTAGATGCTGCAGGGTCTTGTTGTGGCAGCGCAAACACACACACAAGAATCACACAAAAAGTCCAAAGCACTAGTGTTACCTACAGGTTTAAGAAAACTCATTTTAAATCCTTGAGTTCTGTTTTTTTTTATATATATATATAAATTAGAGCGAGAACCCTGAAAAAGTGAGCAGATTAGTGGTGATTTTTTGTGATTAGGGAGGGGCGCAAACTTAAAAAAACCTTCTCATTGTATTGAAGAAGTTAATGATTTAGACTATGAGCAAATTTTTTTTATTTTTTTTATTGAAATGACAAATCAAATGAAACCCAGGAGCTTTTTCTCAGTGTGGTCTGACAACATCTGCCCCGTGCTGGTAATCAGCAGAATAACACCCAGCAGATTATTTCTACAACCTTGATCTGATTCTCTGACTCTGGTCTCTCAGGAGGTTTTGACATCGACATCAAAGGCTGGGGAGGTGAAGACGTCCATCTCTACAGGAAGTACCTCCACAGCAACCTGCTGGTGGTCCGAGCCCCGTCGCGCGGCTTGTTCCACCTGTGGCACGAGAAGCACTGCGCCGACGAGCTGCCCCCGGACCAGTACCGCATGTGCATGCAGTCCAAGGCCATGAATGAGGCCTCGCACGGCCAGCTGGGGATGCTCTTCTTCAGGCACGAGATCGAGGCTCACCTCCGCAGGCAGAAAGAAAAGCAGAACCTCAAGAAAACATGAGGAACTGGGTGGGTTGTAGTGACTGTGAGGAGTGGGAATTGTTCAAGTGGAGTCAAAACTTTGCTCAAAATGTTCATGGATTTATGGAGAAGATGCTTCATTTGCTGTCCTGAGTGCTCGATGCCAAGCTGTGTTTTATACCTGAACAGTCCATAAAGCTACAGCTAAAAGATATTTACCTTGGTTTAGACGGGAAACAAAAATCTACATTAGTTTTTGTCCTAACCAGCACACACACACAAAGTTCAGCTTGATAAATGTTCAAGTTTAAATGATCAAGAAAGTTTTTTTTGTTTGTTTTTGAAAGAGTGAAGTTAATATACCCCCTAAGGCTAAGCTGCGTGACATCCTAACAAGCAAACCTGTAATAGTGTTCAATTTTATCCTCCAGTTCTCACTTAGAATGGGATAAATATTTTTAATAAAACATAAAATTGCATTCTTTCATACACAAGTAAGGTTTGTAACTTTGCAAAGACACATCAGGGTGCAACCGAGAACAACAAAACATTCTCACACATTTTCTTTTAGGAGTCAGGTAAGCCTAAGCCTATTAAAGATGTCTAAAAAAATAAATATGTGTATGAATTTTGAGCTCAAAAGCTTCTTATCCTTGTGCCTTTTGTGAATGAATACAATCCAAACGCACCTGGAGGAAAACTGAGCTGCTCAAGTTTTATATGTAAACAGCTCCACCTAGTGGTTAAGAGGCGAACAGCATGCTGTTAATCTGGGTGAAGGGCTTCAAACACTCAAAACTTTTTGAAAAGCTTAAGAATCAGCTGTTTTTCTTCTTTATTTATGCCTGATGTGGTTTTTAAATGTGAACAGTATTTGTATTTACTTATTACCTGTCTGAGCATGTTATTTACCTTAACTGTAAAAAAAAAGTCTAAGGAAAACTAAAAAAAAGCCATAGTTGAAATTATTGGAATGATGTGGTTTTTAAGAATTGAAAACAAAGTTTACCAACAATAAAAGTGAAGAAAGCAGAGTTTATGTTTAATTAAGACAAGACAGACTAATATTCTTACATGAAAACTTTTTGAACACAGTGAAGTATGGATAAAGTATAAAAATGTCTGTTGACGATGACTTACCAAGTCAGAACCAGCTCTTAATGTTTTTCTTATTTAATGCAAACCAGCTGTGATTAAGTCAGAAATAAACACAAAAATGCTGTTTGTTTTTTGTGCAATAAATGTAATAAGTATTTGTTTTAGGAAGGAAACAAGCAGTCAAATTTGCCTGTAATATATATTTTTCTGTAGCACTTCTTCAGTCTGGAAACGAAATCAAAATGAGATACTTTTAGTGACTGTCCTATGAAAATCTAAATATTAACTTGTGTTTTTTGTATGTTTACCATGAGAGCATCACTGTAAAAACACGTTTCTTTATTTGCCCCGTCATTTTTATCCCTTGAGTTAATGTTCACTGTGAATTTGCTGTATGAAACATTATCTTTATGCAACCTGCTGTTGATGCATCGATGCTTACGTTTTATCTGTGGGTGACATGAAATTATACACGACTGATTCATTTCTTTCTGTGTCATGGATTTATTTTTTATTTATGAGCTGTTGTAACAATAGTTCAAAGATATAAATATTTAAATTCTGAATTATATATATAAGTTATATATAGGTTGCAGGACTTGCAAATTTTTGCAAAAAGGTGCGACTTAAACGGTGAAAAATACGGTAGGTTTTTTTTCAGATATAAACGTTTCACCTGTGTGCAGCTGTTAGCCAAGATTAACTTTAAAAGTCATGTTTCTTCTACACACAGCTAGAAAAAATACATGATAAATGTTTAGTTGTGATAATTTTTTAATATTTTTGAGGTTTGTAAAGTTCAGGGGCTTTTACATGACTCGGTTAAATAGATGCTAATTAAAGCAACACAATCTACTTTAATGCAGATCATCTTAAAGGTGGAATAAAGTTCATTTTCTGCTGAACGGAGGTGTTTTAAAATTATTTGGTGATATTTGGGTTTGGAATCATAAACCTTAAGGTGGAATTTGGGACAGAACTGTGGTTGTTTTACTTTTCTTTATAGTCAATCAAAATATAATTTCTAAATAATCAGAGTATTCTGGTCTGAAACCTTTTTATGTACATTTTAAACATCATCTACTAGAAAATCTGACGTATTTAATTAGTTTAATACAAATTTAATTATCTAAATTGGCTTATTTCTAACATATACATATACTTTTACTTAGTCATCTCTCATTTTACAAAGTTTTGTAAAATCTGGTAAATAATTGAATTTCTATAACAGAAAAGTCCTCAGCACTGATTCATGCACTTTGTAACTCATCAAAGTGAGTTATAGTCCTCTTACAGTAATGCACAATATTTGAATTAATTAGTTTACACATATTCTTTATACTTCTACTTCCTAAGCCCTAGATGGTGCCAGTAAGATTAAAAAATAAAATAAAGACGTTTGGAGCAGCAGATTTTTCAAATTGAGCTAGAAAGATATTTTAATTGTGGCTTATATTTGTTGCTTGTTTTCCTGTTTTAGTCAACTAAGGTTCATTTTAAAAGTGTTACGAAGTTCAATTTGACTTTATGTGACGTGTCTAAAGAACAATGCCATTCATTATAAACTTCCTTTTCAAGGTTGGCTTTGCTGAATATCTTGCTTAAGTTATTTTGCAGACTTTAACAGGATTAAAAGTTCACTTTAGTTTGTTCAAAATACGGAGCTTATGAGCTCGGTTGCTGTTTTCTTCTTACGCCTGCAGAGTGTTGCCGTGGTGCCAGCCTTGTCACTGAGTTTATGTTCAGACCTTCAGGATGAAGTTCAATGTGCTCGTTGGAGCGTTGGCTCAGGTGTGCAGGAAGTAGTTGCAGTTTCAGTACTGCTCTTTAGTTGATGGTTGTGCACAAATGGGATGTAGTTTCTGCAACTTGACCACCAAAAGGTCACTGAAACAGCAACAGCCACTTTCTGCCTTCACGTGTTGCAAACATGTGGTTATGAACGTTTCTATGTCCAGACGGTTGCACCATTCTCAGGTAAAAGGTGGACGTGCATGTGGCCTCTTTACACAGACAGCAAACAGAATTTTATCTGAAAGCTTAAGGTGTGAGTGAAACACTATGGACAGCTGCATGTCAAAGGTCACATCAGACAGGTGGGGCCGTATTTACAGGAAGAGCTCATAAATGGCCCTGGATGAGGTTTTAACAGCCTCAGAAGTGAGATTTTTTTAAACATGCAGGTTCACAAGTGAGATTCTGTTGTACTGTATTTTTCAGACTATCAGGTGCACTTAAAATACTTTATTTGTTCTCAATAATTGACAGTGATTATAATGAGGTGCACTTTATGTATGAATTCTGGTTGTGCTTATTGACCTCGAACTGATTTTATGTGGTTATTGTGAAATAGTTGAATAACGTTTGACTTATCTGTTTATTGCTTAATGCGCCTTATAGTCCGAAAAATACGTTAATCACAAACTAATGACTTGAGTTTGAACGCTGAATGTGTCTCTAAGGTTTTACTGGGTTGTCCTTATTTTCTTGATGCAACAGCTTTGCTCTCTAAATGATTCAGTAACTTATATTTGTTAATTTGTTTCACTCTTAATTTGGACTAATTGAAAATATATATAGGACAGCAGTTCTGTTTTAGTGTGACATGTCCACACGTGGAGACTAAAATACTCAAATATGATAAATGTTTTGTCTGAGCCAAACTCTGAAACATCTTCGCTTGGCTGCACACTTTTGAGTTTTAAACAGATTATGATATACTTTAAAAAAGATAAGTGCAATGGCATTTTTTTAACATGATTCGTTTTTCATTTGTATACGTTAATTTTTTTGAACACGAGTTTAACAATTTTATACGTAGTGAGAAGTTTGTGGTGTTGGACACAAGCTGCTATAACATCACAGTTTAGGTCTGTATTTGTAAAACTGGCTGAGTTTTTTGGCCATTTTGGTGTTTTCCAAGGTTAACTGGCTCTGGGTGGAATCGAGTTGTACATCATGTGATCACTTTTTGCAAGTTTCTTTAAAGTTTATCTTGTTCTTTACATAATTTAGTAACAGACAGACACAACCACATACTCAAATACAAGGATCGCTAACCACCAGCTTTGTGCAAAATTCAACATTTTCAGTTCAGTTTATTTATATAAAGCCAATTTTCTATTTTTTATTTTCATCTTTAAATCACTTCTCGGTCTGCTGCCTTCATACATCTCCTCCTACATGTCTCTGTGTGAGTGCAGCTACAGCGTGCGCTCTCAGGACATTATTACCTGCAGTGTTCCCTCAGTGAGGACTGAACTTGGCAAAAGGGCCTTCTCTCCTCCTGTTTCCTGGAATATCTTGCAAAAAGATCTGAAGCTCTCGATCTTGACCTCTCTAAGTGGCTTCAAACATATTTTAAGTTCCTGGCAAAAAACGATGCAGACATGTTCCTTTTTTTAGTTTTCTACACCGCCTTACAACCTAACTGTTTTTTCGCTACTTTTCCTTTTAATTACCATTTTATTTTCACTTTTTTTTTAATTAAATTTGTACGCATCCTTTATGATTGTTTATTGTTGTCGTTGTTGTCCACTGTTGTCATGACTGCTTGTTAAAATTCAGGTCTCTCTTGTAAATGAGTTCCCGAGGCTCAGTGGGATTAACCTGTATAATTAAAGGTTGAACGAATGAACTGAACAGAGCCACTCATATATAAAAATAATAATTTAGCATTAGTTATCTGAGGAGAAGACGGCTTTGAATTTAACTCCATCACAGAACTCTCATCTTGAGCAAACATGAAGGCGACGGTGGAAAGGAAAAAACTCCATCATGAGGAAGAAACCTTTAGCAGAACTAGGCTCAGGACAAGTGTCTGCTTCGACCGGCTGGGTTTGGTAGGAACAGATACACAATGGCAGCTCAAGAACCACATGTTAAGATAGAAATTGTATTAAATGAAAACTATTCAGTTTTAACAATTAATTTAAGGAAATGAGGTCAATTTGTCCTCTAGTAGTCATGGCAGCTTAACAAGCCAACTCTAATTATAGGATTTATTGTAGGATATACAAAATATCTTCTTAAATATATATATTTATTTGATTATAGTTCATTTTCACAGTGTTCAACCATAATATAAAACCATACGGGTCTACTAAAACAAGTATTTCTACAATACTTGAATGCACCACGAGTTTCTCATAATTACGACACTCCTCGTGTCGCTTGAAAGCATCGTACGGCCTACTGCTGTGACGTCATCAGCTCTGCTAGTCGGCTCGCCTTTCACCGGCGGACAAGCTCGACAGCAGGACAGGTGTGTGTCCCTCCGTCCGTCCCTCCGTGGTCGTGTCTTGTACAAGCTCCTTCAGTCAGCTGCGGAGTCACCATGAAGCTCAGGACAATTGACCGCCACCACCCAACAACAACTGTAGCGAGTTAAAGCCTGCGGCTCGGGTGGTCTGTGACTCGAAGCTAGCCTCGGTGAGTCCGTGAACGCCGCTCCGAGGAGGAGCGTCTCCGTCAGGTTTATATTGAAGCGCTGGAGGACGCAGCGGCTCACAGAGGGACAGAGACAGTGAGACAGAGAAGAGTCAACATGTTTGACACCAAAGGAATCCCCTTTGTCCTGCTGGATGTGGTCTGCGTGGCTCTGGGTATGTTTGAACGCTGCTAATCCGATTTGTGAGCAGATTTTAATCCCGTTGTTGGGAGATTTAGCTGCCATCACGTGAAGGGAGTGCTGAATGTTTGTTTTTGTTGTTTATTGTTGACATTTCTCCGGTTTGGGTGTTTTAATTAGCTGAGGGATCATTTTTATGGGGTTAAAAAAAATGAGTATTATAATTTAAATGTAGTTTATGTGATTATCACATGGGAGGGATCTTTAAATGTCCATAATCTGACTCATTCACTCAGAGCTTTATGAGCCATAAAGGCGAACACGTGACTTTCCTCACATTAAATAAGGTGATGTTGCAAGTCACATTCCTACCTTTGGACTTGTACAATTTCTCACATATTAAACAAGATCTCTTAATTTCAGAGATCATGAATCAACACGTAGCTGAACGAATAACATCTCAAATTAGACTGTTGTTCCATTTTTAGTCTGAAATCTAACTTTGCAGGCCTGTGTTCATTCTTCCTCTTCTAAGTTTGTCTTTATTTTTAGACTGAAGCGCTCACAAGACCACACCACCTCATCCAAGCACAGAGGACTGTTGTGTGCAGGACATCCAAATATGAATAACCTGTTTGTACTGTCATAAAACCTTTATGTGCTTTAAAAGTTGTGCAATGTTTTTCTAATATACTGAATCGCTTGGTCTTTTGTAGCAGTCTTCAGCAGAACGAGCCCATCAGATTGGACACGAGTCTCAGAGACGATTGGGTTATAGCTGAATATCAAGTTATAACCAGGCATCTGAGAGTCTGTATCCGGGCCGAAGCTGGTACCAGCTGTCGGGCGTCTTTCCATGCTGCCAAACGCAGTGCGACTCAAAACGAGGATCAAACAAAGCTGTTCTGAGCCGGTCATAATTATGAGGAAGCGGAGGACACGGGGCTCGTCCTGTTTTCCAGCATAGCTGAATTTATTTGGGTGATGCAGTGAGGCTGAAGGCAAATGAGCTCGTGTACTTATGTAGGCAAGTTTACATTTTATTGTGTGGTTGCGCTCGGAAGCTCTTTGGATGTAAAGTCACACATAAAAAAAAAAAGATAAAAGAAGTGAACCATTATTTGAAACGGCCCCAAGAGTTCCCACCTTTCAGCTGTTTTTACCCGTGAGTTTAGCTGGGCACAGCTGAAGGGCTTAACAGCTGCAGCAGGCAGAAGCAAAGAGTTTGAGGCTGGAGCAGTATCTTCATGTTCTTGTGGCTTTTTAATGTGCAACACAGCTCAATAATGGACTCTCTCTTTGTGCTGAATGAGTGAAAGGTTTTCTCTGCTACACAATGGGCTTAATGGTCAAGCGTGCAGTGAGACGACAGCAGACTTTACTCTGTCGAATCCAGTTAGCGTTGGCCCTTATCTTTATAGCATATACTGGTATAGTATCTGATTGAGCTGAGTAAAGCACTTTTTTTGGTGTGCGGGTTTAACGTAAAATATGTTATTTCCTGTCGGGAGTTGATCTCATGAACAGAAAAGTCATTGAAATGGTCCATTTGTGATGATGGATACCATAACTTGTGTTTTTAATATGACGTTAGCCATGCATCATTAATTTCTTTTGCACACATTTTGTTTGTTTCACAGTATTATTTGCTAGCTGAGTAACAAAAGGGCAGATTTATTTATACTAAATAAACTCACAGGAGGAGAGGCAATCAATGTTTTACAGCTAAGGTAAAATACAGGTGCTGGTCATAAAATTAGAATATCATGAAAAAGTTTATTTATTTCAGTAATTCCATTCAAAAAGTGAAACTTGTATATTATATTCATTACACATAAACTGATATATTTCAAATGTTGTTTTTTTTAATGTTGAAGATTATAACTGACAACTAATGAAAATCCCAAATTCAGTATCTCAGAAAATTAGAACATTGTGAAAAGGTTCAATATT